AACCCTACCCCAGCCCCACCAGCTCACTGCAGGGCAGGAGCCCTGAGCTCCCCCTGTCTGGTAGATGGAGAATGGAGGGAGGGGGTGTCTTGGGGGGCTCCACGAGCTGCACTTTAACTGTAAAAGAGCCACATACAGCTCGCGAGCGGTGGTTTGCCCACCACTGCTATAGAAGTTTAATGCTTCATTGTACCATTCCAACTGAAATCATTAGGAAAAAGGAGCGAGGTAATTCACGTTTTTCGTCTATCTCTGGACAGACCTGGCCTGGATTCAATGCTGAGGCCATGGGACCCGTCATGTAATCCTATGGAAGGAGCAAATCTGGCTGCTTTGTATGATTTGTTCTGTTCTTGTAACTTCCAAAGCAAGTTCACTGGGTTTTACATCTTAACGGTAAAATTTTCAAAAGCACTTAAGTGGCCTAGGAGCCTAAGTCCCATTTTCAAAGGTGACACATGCACTTATCTGTTGACTTTTCCTTTGAAATCTATTTGAATAAGGCATATAACCTGATTTGGCAATTTTGAAAATCTCACAAGGCACCTATCTGCATCTTTTCCTTTGAAAATCTGCTTTAAGTGTCTATGTCACTCTCGAAACCATGGGTTAGGCTCCGATTCATTCAGGTGACTGAAAGATTTGCCCCTAACCTACAAAACCCAATGAACTCATTTTGGAATTTCACAGGAAGAGCTCAATGTATACACAAAGCAGCCAGATGCAAGCACTAGGTAAGCAGGATTTGACTATTTAACTAATATCACTTGAAGAGATGGATCAGCACTGATGATAGAGAAGTGGGCAGAAAGACTCATCACTGGGGTTTGAACTGGACTACCCTGTGGGCACGAAGTCCTTGTGCCGATCTGAAGGTCCTGTTGCCTCATTATGAGCTACTCAAGAAGTAGCACCATGATGCCAAAGCTACAGGAATGATTCATAAAACACATACACCAGGGGCTAGAATCCTAATGCTGGACAGTGTTCTAGAACCTCTTGAGCCACTGTACAAGTAATTGTGAGTTTCTCTGACAATTTCATGAAAGTTCTTCCCAAGTCCACATGGAGGGAGAAACCTAAGCCTGCCCTGCCAGCATTCCACCTTCTCCTAAAACTCTGCAGTTCTATTACGGAAAGAAAGGTGAGAAGAGCAGCAGAGAGGACAGGGTTTATTTACATATAATTAGGCTTCAAAGGACAAGAAAGGTGAATTTTTTCCTATTTATCTAGTTGGAGATTTCACAGCATCTTCATTTCTGTACAGCTTCCAGTTCTATAGTTAGCTTTATTGAGTCTGATTTAATTCAGAAACTCATGTTTTGTCACTATAGGAGCAGGACTGAATCCAGTCTTTGCCCTTCACTGCAAATTGAGCTTAATGGGATAATGGTAACAAATCATTTTCTCTCTAAACCATAAATGGTTTAATATTTCCAAGCTGGTATATTTAAAACTGTTTTCGTTAAATAATGCACTAATATATTTTCTTTTCAATATAGAATGGTAATAACAAAAAAAGGTGTCGCAGAAGGAACAAAGCACAGAAAAGGGGTAAAAATGCTACACTCACACACCTGTCAGCTGTCCAGTAGTAAACTGCTGTAATTTGCTAGGCAGGTACGCAAGAAAACACAGTTAAGTTCAAACCCACCAAATTCCAAACACAGTCTGCTAACCTCTGACACTTCATTGTGCAGACTCAGAATTATTTTTATTTAGGACACCGTCTGTGCCAGAGAAGTAGCTTTATAACATAGTTGTAAAACATTTGCGGTCCACAAAAAAACACTCTTTGCAAGTCTTCAAAACTCTACCAGACAGGCTAACATTGCAACTGACATGCTGAGCATTTTTTGTGGACTGCTGGTGTGCCAATAGCGAGATGGCTTTAAATGGAATTTGGAATTGCTAGGAAGAAGTGCACTTCCCTCAGGCTCAACCTGCTGAGCGTTCCCTACAGAAGCAATAAGCCAAAACTAGCTTTGTTTCTCCTGCAGGTTGAATTCCACTGTGTATAGCATCAGGGTTATAGGTTATCATGGAATATTTTAGTACAGGGGTAGGCTACCTATGGCATGCGTGCCAAAGGCAGCACGCGAGCTGATTTTCAGTGGCACTCACACTGCCCTGGTCCTGGCCACCAGTTTGGGGGCTCTGCATTTTAATTTAATATTAAATGAAGCTTCTTAAACATTTTAAAAACCGTATTTACTTTACATACAACAATAGTTTAGTTATATATTATAGACTTATAGAAAGAGACCTTCTAAAACGTTAAAATGTATTACTGGCACGCGAAACCTTAAATTAGAGTAAACAAACGAAGACTCCGCACACTGCTTCTGAAAGGTTGCCGACCCCTGAACTTTAGTATATTACATTTTGAAAAGTGAATGGAAAATGGCATCATGGTCTTCTGTGTTTAAGGCCTGATCCTTCAATTACTCTTCTCACAGGAGTCCAACTGAAATCAATGGGAGTTCTATGAGCACAGCACTGGCAGGATGGGGCCATTATATCCAGTGGCTTTCACAGCATATCAGCTCAGTTTACAAACCCAAAGAAAAATTATTTTTCTAACATCCAATGCTGCAAATTGAACCTAGGATCTGTCTCTTCCTGTACATCATCGCCAGTAACAAAAGATTCTGCAGTAGGAACTTAGCTGAGTTGGAGAGGCAGGATAACATTCAGCTCCCTCCTCTGTACCTATACTGGCTCGGAGATGCCAGCTGTAGTTAAAAATCTGCATTTCCTAGAATACCAGGAAATAAAAATCAAAGATGGACAGTTAGCAAAGAGTGTCATTTTTACATTGTCACTGTTTTTTCTGTAACCACATTTTAAAGTGTGTAATAATGTGAGGCACATTTAACCCTCTCAGACCTATACAGAAGAGGAAAATTGCAGTTCTTACACAGAACAGCTGAACCTCCAGGTTTGTTTGGTTAATTCCTTATTTTAAGTCTGCAAGTACATTGTTATGCCAATGTTATTTCTTCGTTTTTCATTCTTGTAGCCAGCTTGCTGAAGAACTCTTATGTTTTGGGTTTCAGGCACCTGTGTCAGGCCAGACCAGGAACTGTTTTAAAATAAATTTCCTGAGTCGTAGCATATTTTAAAAGGAACAGCAGTAGACGGGGTGGTTCAAGACTCAAAGGACAGCAAGTTTTGCTGCAGATACAGAGAAAATAGAGCCACACAGCTGATGCTTAAAGCAGCAAAGCAGCAAGTACAGGTGAAGCTCAGGTGAGCACACAGTGTCCAATGAGAGAGATACCAGCAGGTGCAATAATGACTGCAGAAAAAAGAGGTGGAGTGAGCTGTTTTCTAGCAATTCCTTCTTACCATAACGCCTAGGAGCCCAGGACCTCATTGTGCGAGAAGCTGTACAGAGAACAAAAAGACAAGAGACAACAGATAGATACAGACAGGCAGAGAAGAGTACAAGGAAATTATGCGACAATACTGGTCAGCATGAATAGGCAGTGGTCTCAGCACACTGGTGGGCTAACTGCTGTCAATTTTTTGTAAGCATCAAGGCAAAGGAGAGTAATACAGACTAATTTGAACAGGGATAATAAGGTAGCTTACCTGAGGGCCTGACAGCCCAGTTATTCAAAAAGTGTCCTGCAGATGAGAGCGGGGTAATCTAAAAAGTCCTATTACACCATGAGAGATAGGAAGATATAAAGCTAAAGGAATGGAGGCAGAGGGTTAAGTGTGCATACTAGTGAATGGGAGTGAAATCCTGGCCCCATTGAAGACAATGGCAAAAGTCCCATTGACTTCACTAAGGACAGGAATTCACCCCTAGTACGTGTACAAGTTTAGGGTTAGGCCCATAGCAGAAAATATTTCCTGTTCGTCTAGAACAGAACTGCAGCCTGAGGGATTCTGGGCTCTGCTGAGATACTGGCTAATGAACAACCTGCAGGAGATTGGAGATTTTTATTAAGTTCAAACTCTGACAAGAAAAATCTTAGTGGCAAAGACACTGTGAGGGAGGATCCTACAATTGCTGTGGATACAGGATGTGAAGGTCACTAGCAGTTCCCCAAATAAAAGCAGGGTCTGCTTTATAACAATTCTCTGATAGGGGAGAAAAACAGACCTCTCTGAAATGTCAGAGGAGTCCTTGTTCTGGATGCAGGGATTTGCCCTGTCTATTGCATTGAAAAGATTCTTAATATCACAGGAGTCAGGTGTCCTGTTCCTATTCCCTAGCAGATTCTCCCTCTGATAAACACGAGGAGTCACACTGATGGAAAACACCTACAATTTCCCTTCCAACAGCTGTTTTAGTGCTTCAGTACCACCATGCTACTGGCAGCAGACACCCAGATACCAAGAGGTTTCCAAGATACTCCTAGTACAATACTGATATGCTAGTAACTTCGTCAACACTTGCCATCAGTACTCACTGCCCTATATCCATTGTCTCAATGGGTTTGCTTATACATTGGAGTTGATATGCTGGATCAGATTGTTGGTCCAGTGCTTTCAGCTGAATATCTTGCCTCCATCAGGGCTAGCACCTGATGCTTCACAAGAATGCACACCCTCCCCCCATATTAGCCTGTGCAGATGGAGGTGGTCCTGATAGAATGCTCCACATCTTGATGTCTCTCTGCTCCTCATCATACCATAAACAGGGTAACGAGTATAAAAGAAAACGCAGATTAGCAAAACAAGTAGACGACTGAGTTTGAATGTGTTAGTATCAATGGCCTAAAGAAGCAGATATCAAACTAGGTATGTACCATATGAGCAGGGGTCCTTTATTCCTGATACAATGCAATCTATAACATCATGTCTCACAGTTCCGTTAACATGGAGACTGGATTCAGAGGATGAGGCTTCAGGTGTAGTACACGTACAGGGCCAGACTGAGAATTTTTCACTGAAATGCAAAAAAGAAATAGAACTTGCTTCTTTAAGAGAATCCGCTATTAACCTTTCTACTCTCCCTTTAGGCTTTGTAACCAGCTCCCACCATGGATGACAGCGCTTGGGTGGGGACCTGGAGGCCTCATCGTCCAAGGGGCCCAATAATGGCCCACTTTACCAGCCCAGGACCAAAGTACGCAATACAGGGAACAACAGGTAAAAGGACAGAAAGATACAGAGTTTCAAGAAACACAGTTGATCTCACGAGTTAAACACACTAAATCCAGATCAGTTCAAACGATTCATTTAGTACAAACTCTCACATATTCTATTAAAATATAATTCCACTGTCTCTGATGTGACAGTTAATAAAATCCTCCTATGTGAAAGAGGACTGTTGCCCCCTTACTAACATTCAGTGGGGGTGTTTTGGTTGGCTAGCTCCCAGTACTAAAAGAAAGGGGAAGGGTCAATGAGAAATCAGGACCCTGAGACTGACAGTCCCCAGGAGCAATGGGGAGAGGCCAATGCTCCAGGTCAGTCTGATTGACAGGGTGGGCAGGCTAATCAAGGAGTCAGGAGGCCAGGGTGGGGCCGGTCCTGTATGTGAGCTGGATTTTTGCCTGGGTCAGACAGAGTGGGGCCGAGCTAAGGAGGAAGGAGGGGCGCAAGCTGAGCTGGGGAGCAGAGCTGGGACAGATCCAGAGGGACCAGAAAAGCAGCCCAGAGAGAGCAGACCCTGTCTTGGGAGCAGAGCTGCAGCCCCAAAGCCAGAGGCACAGCCCAGAGAGAGCAGACCTGCCCTGGGAGCAGAGCTGCAGCAACCAGAGCCAGAGGGGCCAGAAAAGCAGCCCAGGAAGCAGGTCAGTGCTGGGAGCAGAGTCACAGAAGCAGCCAGCAGAGCAGACCAGACCTGTGCTGAGAGGAGAACTGCAGCAACCAGAGGCAGAGGGGCCAGAGAAGCAGCCCAGGGAGCTGGAGGCAGAGCAGCAGCAGCGCTGAGGCAGAGTGGTGGGGCTGGGGCTGGAGCAGTCCGGAGCTGGGTGCGGTGAGCAGATGGGAAGAGCGAGGGGGACCCTGTGCAGTGGGCCCAGCACAGGGAGATGCCTCAGTCAAGAGGCTCTGCAGGCCAAACTTGGAGGGGGATCGTAACCGCGATGGGGCGGGGGCAACGCTGGGAAGAAGGGTCCTGCCACCTAGAGCCTGAGCGCGTGTAGCCGCCGCCAGAGCAAGTGTCCAACCCACAGCATCCCTGCAGCACAGCCAGGGCCTGAGGAGGAGGCCTGGGACTTACAAGGAACAGACTGTGAACTGCCCGGACATTCCAGAAACACTGTTTGTGATGTTCCCTGCCACAGAGCAGGGTGATGTGTTTTCCTTTAGCCTTTCCCATTTTTCCTTGTTCCTTTTTAAACTAATTGCTGATTAAATAAATTGTATTTGCTTTAAATTGTATGTAATGATCAGTGGGTCAGGGAAGTGCCCAGTGCAGAGAGAGCACCCCGGAGTGGGGACACCCTAGCCCCTGTCCTAGGTGACCACGGCAAGGTTGGGGGTTGAGCCCCCCAGGAATCCTGGGCCCAGCCTTGTCGGGGTTACGAGGACTCTGCCAGACAGGAGAGTGAAAGGGGAGTCCTCAAGGGCAGGGAGGCCTCTGGGTAAAGGAAGTGGGAGCAAGGACTCAGATCCTTTCGCTGGCCCATTTCATCGGGGTAGTGCAGAAGCCAGGAAAGTTCCCCACAATAGCGGGACCATTCCCCCACTTACATATGGGATGTCTCTATTAATTTCCATTATAACCTAGGAAATAGGACAGGGTGACTCTGCTTAGTACAGACTTATGCTGAACCGTTTCAGATGGTGTTTTCTTTACCATCAATCGTTATTTTCAATCTCTCTGTGGCGAGTAGATTTTGTCGGTAGGCTGGTAAATTTTCACGACAACCTCACAAAGCTGAACTAGAAACACATTTTCTTGGAGCAGAAATTACAAAAAGGGGAAGTTGGGAAATACATAAAGAATATCCCTGCTGTGATTAACCTCACTGCCAACCACCTATGGCTGTAGCTCCACCGAAAGTTAGAGCAAGGTGTTAGATGTCTGACTGTGATGCAAATGACAGTCAGACATTTGTAAGAGGCAGCTTGACTCTTACATCACCTCTCACTTCTGCTGCTGCATACCTTTTATCTTCCTCATAATAAAGTGTCAATATTTAGCTTAGGAATTGTATAACTATCTAAACTATTTGTGTTATACACATTTTTAAGGCGTTGAACAATAAGAATCTAAATTCAGAAGGAATTTTCAATATAGATTTTTAGAAATAATGTCACTAAGGCCTGGTCTACACTAGGAGGGGATCGATCTAAGCTACGCAACTTCAGCTACATGAATAACGTAGCTGAAGTCGACGTACTTAGATCAACGTACTGTGGTGTCTTCACCGTGGTGAGTCGACTGCTGCTGCTCCCCCGTCGACTCTGTGGCGCAGAAGTACAGGAGTCAACGGGAAAGGGCTCGGGGGGGTGGGTGTTGATTTATTGCATCTAGACTAGACACGATAAATCAATCCCTGCTGGATCAGTCACTGCCCACCGATCTGGTGGGTAGTGAAGACATATACCCTAAGAGGTTGTTGTCACTCTCACTGGGAAGCTGCCATTTGAATAACGGTATTGTACTTCCCAGCAGCAGGACACCTGGTAGGTAGCATCCCCATTAGAATGCATTGGAAAACAAGGTTTAAAATTAGTGGTAAGTAATCCGTATTCTTTATATTTAAGTTTGGGTGTTTTTTATTATTTTGGTTATTTTAACAGCTGGTTGTTAAATAACCAAAGTATTTTGTAGTTCCAGAATTTGCTTTACAACAACTTTGGCATACTCTAATCACCAGTGTTTTCACATGGAAAAGTCAATGTTTTCAGTTGTACTAGGCATAACATTGCCAGGACTGAGTTTTCTTCTTTAATCCCAAATTATTTAAAACTAGTATTTCAAACAAATTTTGTTTAGGAGTTACTCTTCTGTGTAATTGGAAGTAATTTTTATAAACTCTTATATTACATGGGAGTTTCCAGGAAAATTCTCTTGGTTTTAGGGTATGTCTATGCTGGGAAACATACCAAAATAGCTATTCCAGAGTAATTATCCAGGGATAGTTATTTCAGTATAAGCTCCAGAATAAGAGCGTCCACATGACGGCTTATACTGAAAGAACTATTGGAATAATTATTACCTGAATAGCTATTTTGGTAAGTTTTCTGAGGTAAACAAGCCTTAGTTCTCTATCATAAGAACAGGATAGTACAGCTCACTTTTGCAATCCTTGGGTGAAATCCTGGCCCCACTGAAATCAATGAGTTTTGCCATTTGTTAGTGATTCACCCCTTTTGTCCAGTGACAGAACTGCTCAGAAGGTGACAGGTTAGGCGTAGTTATAAGAGAGAAACCTCTGACGTACCCATAAACTGAGATGAATGAGCAATAATAATGACCATATGTCCATCCTACAAACCAAAAGTAAAGCCAATGTCAAAGGGTATGTCTACGCTATGAAATTAGCTCGAATTTATATGTCGGTTTTTTAGAAATCGTTTTTATATAATCAATTGTGTGTGTCCCCCACACAAAATGCTCTAAGTGCATTAACTCGGCGGAGTGCTTCCACAGTACCGAGGCTAGAATCGACTTCTGGAGTGTTGCACTGAGTACAGCTATCCCACAGTTCCTGCAGTCTCCGCTGCCCATTGGAATTCTGGGTTGAGATCCCAATGCCAAATGGGGCAAAAACATTGTCGCAGGTGGTTCTGGGTTCATGTCGTCAGGCCCTCCCTCCCTCTGTAAAAGCAATGGCAGACAATCGTTTCGTGCCTTTTTTCCTGGGTTACCTGTGCAGATGCCATACCATGGCAAGCATGGAGCCCGCTCAGCTCACTGTCACCGTATGTCTCCTGGGTGCTGGCAGACGTGGTACTGCATTGCTACACAGCAGTAGTTCATTGCCTTGTGGCAGCAGACGGTGCAATAGGCCTGATAACCATCATCATCGTGTCCGAGGTGCTCTTGGCCGCCTTGGTAAGGTCAGTCAGGAGCGCCTCGGCAGACATGGGTGCAAGGACTGAGAGAGGAGTGACTTGACTAGGTCATTCTCTTTAGTCCTGCTGGCAGTCTTATTGCACCATCTTCTGACAAGCTGGCAGGAGATGAGGATGGCTAGAAGTCCTACTGCACTGTCTGCTGCCAGCCAAAGATGTAAAAGATAGATGGAGTGGATCAAAACAAGAAATAGACCAGATTTGTTTTGTATTCATTTGCTCCCCCCTCCCTCCCTCCGTGAAATCAATGGCTGACAATTGTTTCAGTGAGGTCTGTCAGGGGCACCTTGAAAAGTTTAATGGAGATTCAGTCTTGTCTGGAATACCAGAAGGAGGGATAGCTCAGTGGGTTGAGCATTGGCCTGCTAAACCCAGGGTTTTGAGCTCAATCCTTGAGGGCGCCATTCTGTGTGACAGTTGCTTTTGTTTCTCCTTGATGTAAAGCCACCCCCTTTGTTGATTTTAATTCCCTGTAAGCCAACCCTATAAGCCATGTCATCAGTCGCCCCTCCCTACGTCAGAGCAACAGCAGACAATCGTTCCGCGCCTTTTTTCCGTGCAGACTCCATACCACTGCAAGCATGGAGCCTGCTCAGATCACTTTGGCAATTAGGAGCACATTAAACACCATGCGCATTATCCAGCAGTATATGCAGCACCAGAACCTGGCAAAGCGAAACTGGGCAAGTAGGCGACGTCAGTGCGGTGACGAGAGTGATGAGGACATGGACACAGACTTCTCTCAAAGCATAGGCCCTGGCAATGTGGGCATGATGGTGCTAATGGGGCAGGTTCACACGTTGGAATGCCGATTCTGGGCCCAGGAAACAAGCACAGACTGGTGGGACTGCATAGTATTGCGGGTCTGGGACGATTCCCAGTGGCTGAGAAACTTTCGTACATGTAAGGGCACTTTCATAGAACTTTGTGACTTGCTTTTCCCTGCCCTGAAGCGCAAGACTACCAAGATGAGAGCAGCCGTCACAGTTGAGAAGTGAGTGGCAATAGCCCTGTGGAAGCTTGCAATGCCAGACAGCTACCGATCAGTCGGGAATGAATTTGGAGTGGGCACATCTACTGTGGGGGCTGCTGTGATGCAAGTAGCCAACACAGTCACTGAGCTGCTGCTATCAAGGGTAGTGACCCTGGGAAATGTGCAGGTCATAGTGGACAGCTTTGCTGCAATGGGACTCTCTAACTGTGGTGGGGCCATAGATGGAACCCATATCACTATCTTGGCACCGGAGCACCAAGCTGCCGAGTACATAAACCGCAAGGGGTACTTTTCAATAGTGCTGCAAGCACTGGTGGATCACAAGGGACGTTTCACCAACATCAACGTGGGATGGCTGGGAAAGGTACAGACGCTCACATCTTCAGGAACTCTGGTCTGTTTCAAAAGCTGCAGGAAGGGACTTTCTTCCCAGATCAGAAAATAACCATTGGGGATGTTGAAATGCCTATAGTTATCCTTGGGGAACCAGCCTACCCCTTAATGCCATGGCTCATGAAGCCATACACATGCAGCCTGGACAGTAGTCAGGAGCTGTTCAACTATAGGCTGAGCAAGTGCAGAATGGTGGTAGAATATGCATTTGGATGTTTAAAAGCACGCTGGTGCAGTTTACTGACTCGCTTAGACCTCAGCAAAACCAATATTTCCACTGTTATTACTGCTTGCTGTGTGCTCCACTATATCTGTGAGAGTAAGGGGGAGATGTTTATGGCAGGGTGGGAGGTTGAGGCAAATCACCTGGCCGCTGGTTACGCACAGCCAGACACTAGGGCAGTTAGAAGAGCACAGGAGGGTGCAGTGCGCATCAGAGAAGCTTTGAAAACCAGTTTCAGGAATGGCGAGGCTACGGTGTGAAAGTTCTGTTTGTTTCTCCTTGATGAACCCCCCCCCACCTCTTGGTTCACTCTTCTTCCCTGTAAGCTAACCACCCTCCCCTCCTCCCTTCAATCACCACTTGCAGAGGCAATAAAGTCATTGTTGCTTCACATTCATGCATTCTTTATTAATTCATCACATAAATAGGGGGATAACTGCCAAGGTAGCCTGGGAAGGGTGGTGGAGGAGGGAAGCACCGGGAGGGGTGGTGGAGGAGGGAAGGACAAGGCCACACAGCACTTTAAAACTTATTGAATGCCAGCCTTCTGTTGCTTGGGCAATCCTCTGGGGTGGAGTGTCTGGTTGGCTGGAGGCCCCCCCACCGCGTTCTTGACTGTCTGGGTGAGGAGGCTATGGAACTTGGGGAGGAGGGCGGTTGGTTACACAGGGGCTGTAGCAGCAGTCTGTGCTGCTGCTGCCGCCTTTCCTGCAGCTCAACCATACGTTGGAGCATATGAGTTTGATCCTCCAGAAGCCTCAGCATTGAATTCTGCCTCCTCTCATCACGCTGCCGCCACCTTTCAGCTTCAGCCCTGTCTTCAGCCCGGCACTTACTCTCTTCAGCCCGCCACCTCTCCTCCTGGTCATTTTGTGCTTTCCTGCACTCTGACATTGTTTGCCTCCACGCATTTGTCTGTGCTCTGTCAGTGTGGGAGGACAGCATGAGCTCAGAGAAAATTTCATTGCGAGTGCGTTTTTTTCCCCTTCTAATCTTCGCTAGCCTCTGGGAAGGAGAAGATCCTGTGATCCTTGAAACACATGCAGCTGGTGGAGGAAAAAAAGGGACAGTGGTACTTAAAGACAGATTTTATAGAAAAGGGTACACTCTTTCATGGTAAACCTTGCTGTTAACATCACATACATAGCACATGTGCTTTCGTTCCAAGGTCGCATTTTGCCTCCCCCCACCGAGCGGCTAACCCCTACCCCCTCCCCGTGGCTAACAGAGGGGAACATTTCTGTTCAGCCACAGGCAAACAGCCCAGCAGGAATGGGCACCTCTGAATGTCCCCTTAAGAAAAGCACCCTATTTCAACCAGGTGACCACAAATGATATCACTCTCCTGAGGATAACACAGAGAGAGAAAGAACAGATGTTGTTTGAACGCCAGCAAACATACACTGCAACGTTTTGTTCTGCAATGATTCCCAACTACGTGCTACTGGCCTGGCATGGTAAAGTGTCCTACCATGGTGGACGGAATAAGGCTGCCCTCCCCAGAAACCTTTTCCAAAGGCTTTGGGAATACATCCAGGAGAGCTTTATGGAGATGTCCCTGGAGGATTTCCGCTCCATCCCCAGACATGTTAACAGAGTTTTCCAGTAGCTGTACTGGCCACAAATGCCAGGGCAAAATAATCATTAAACACGCTTGCTTTTAAACCATGTATACTATTTAAAAAGGTACACTCACCAGAGGTCCCTTCTCCGCCTGGCGGGTCGGGGAGGCAGCCTTGGGTGGGTTCAGGGGGTACTGGCTTCAGGTCCAGGGTGAGAAACAGTTCCTGGCCGTCGGAAAAACCGGTTTCTCCGCTTGCTTGCTGTGCACTATCTACAACTTCATCATCATCATCTTCCTCGTCCCCAAAACCTGCTTTCGTGTTGCCTCTCTCTCCACTGGCAGAGTCAAAGCACACGGTTGGGGTAGTGGTGGCTGAACCCCCTAAAATGGTATACAGCTCATCATAGATGCGGCATGTTTGGGGCTCTGACCCGGAGCAGCCATTTGCCTCTCTGGTTTTCTGGTAGGGTTGCCTCAGGTCCTTAAGTTTCACGCGGCACTGCTTCAGGTCCCTGTTATGGCCTCTGTCCTTCATGCCCTGGGAGATTTTGACAAATGTTTTGGCATTTCGAAAACTGGAACATAGTTCTGATTGTATGAGGAGAGGAATTCATGCTGTGATCAGGTCCCATACCTCCCGTTCGGTCCATGCTGGAGCTCTTTTGCAATTCTGGGACGCCATCATGGTCACCTCTGCTGATGAGCTCTGCACTCACCTGCAGCTCGCCACGCTGGCCAAACAGGAAATGAGATTCAAAAGTTCGTGGGCCTTTTCCTGTCTACCTGGCCAGTGCATCTGAGTTGAGAGTGCTGTCCAGAGCGGTCACAATGGAGCACTCTGGGATAGCTCCCGGAGGCCAATACCATCCAATTGCGTCCACAGTACCCCAAATTCGACCCAGCAAGGCCGATTTCAGCGATAATCCCCTTGTTGGGGGTGGAGTAAGGAAATTGATTTTAAGAGCCCTTTAAGTCAAAAATAAGGGCTAGGTCGTGTGGATGGGTGCAAGGTTAAATCGATTTAACGCTGCTAAATTCGACCTCAACTCCTAGTGTCGACCAGGGCTTAGAAATTAATCTCATGGTCCAAAGGCTCTAAAACGACTTTAGCAACAAGACCCAAAGGGGAATTAAAATAAAACCTGACACATGCATATGAACTGTAGCCCTTCTTCCTAGGTTACCTGAAGCACAACCCCACCAAAAGGAAAGCCCCTGCCTACACTTTTAAGGGGGCAAGGCCCTCGCTCCGTGAAGCCTGTTCTCCGGGTCCTCGTTACTATGTGGAACCCGCAATGACCAGGAAGGGAAAGGAAGTTGCCCCAGCTTATACCATGTGTGGGCGCCCCAAGGTGAAAACTGAGGTCACACCTGGCCCAAGTGAGTAGTATTTCTTTCAACAGTTTATTCAAGGTGAGGATAATGTGCCTATGGGTGTCCTATGTTAGGGGAATATAAACCACACCAGAATGAGGTATGGAGGTTTTCAAATGGAAAGTAACAGCTCCAGCATTTGGGAGTAGGATGTGGGAGGAACAACAACATGGATGGTAGGCTCAGGATTCAAGAAAGGGCAGTGCAGTGTCACAGGGCTGGAAAGAGAGGAACAGCAGTGCAGGGTGTTGGGAGCAGGATGGAAGAGAACTGGCAAAACAGGACGATGGGGCTGGGATGTAGGGGGAAATGGCAGTGCAGCATGATGTGGTTGCACAGACTTGGTCTGTAGGTTCAGCCACCTGTTCGGCATGAAAGGATCATTGTTTTTGCTTTGCTCACCTCTTGTCTAGGCGATTATTCAACAGAGAAGTCAAAAAAGCATGTTTATGAATCTGCTCCTGTGCACTCCATGTCATTCAGGACTGGGAGCTTCAGAGTAGACAGCACTCCAGGTAAAATCCAACAACTAATAAATGAAACCCATCCATGAGTCCTGTAGTTGCCACCTGGCCTAAAAGCCAGAAAGAAAGTGAAATTCCTGAGCCTGACTCCACAGCCAAGTATTATAATGAAGGAAGAAAGCCTTGGTAATAGCATGTGTAGTTTGAACTTGGGGCTCTTAAAAGCCATGAACTAGAGATGGTCCTGAGTTTAACATGGTTGTCCTCTACACTGGTTACGATATAGTTCCAATTTGTAGTGCAAATAGAACCTTAACTGTGTTCTGCAGCTGGGCTAAGACTTGCTCACATCCAAAGCTTTTGCACAGTTACAGTACATGGTTAAGGACAGCCCTGTCTACACTAAAACAGAAATCATCTCTTAAATGAGTCAATGGACATCCATGTTATAAGAAGACTGTATCCCATTTGTATTTGTAGTGGAGATGGGCTCTTAGAGACAATTTAACTGATTCCGTGTCAAAAGAGGTGAAAGTTGAAGAAACCAAATTCTTCCTCTCAATTAACAAGGGGCAATGGGGGACAGAAACCAACAGGAATATTTCCAGGGGAGGAAAACAAAAATACTGAAAACACTCAATGCTCATGTGACAACACAGCCAGGCAGCTTATGTCTCAAAATTGAGAGGAACGCCTTTGGCACAGAGGTATAAAAGCTCACTAGAAGTCAGGAATATACCTAAGGCCTTGATAGAAGTCAGTGTTACACCCAGAGTTTGAGGCATACTCTCATCAAGATTAGTAGGCCAAAATATGACCTAACTTTATCTTCCTATGTCTGTTTGAAATACATATGCAATTCCTTTTACCTACAGTTTGAATATCAGCAAATAATTAGCAGCATAACTATCAAAATCAATAGGGGTCATCACACGACAAACTCCATAATATGTCTTGAAAAAATGTCCCATTATATGAGTATAGTTTTAGAAAAATGGTTTCAGTGTTCTTGTATGAAAAAATGTCTGGAAAACCCAGGTCACTACAGATGGGTTAGGTTTACTTCATCAGAAAGAAAAGTATCAAACATGCAGAGATGAGACAGAAGAGATACAGGTTGATCAAAAATAACTGCCATGGATCAATCATTTAGACAGATCCAAAACAACATAATGCTGTACCACATCTACATATCACCACTATGCAACTGTTTCTCTACTACTTTTGGTTCTCTCTGACAGCTAACACCTTGTCTACAATCACAACAATGTTTGTGTGCCAACTGCAAAATGGATGTGCCCAAACCTTGTATAATACAGTTTGGTTTTCTTTGCATAGACAGAACCCAAATGTTACTAGGATAGCACCTAGGAGCCCCAGTCATGGAACAGGACCCCCTTGTGCTAAGTGCTGTACAAACACAGAACAAAAAGGTTGTCGCTTCCCCAAAAAGCTGACAATTTAAGTATAAGACAAGAGACAACAGGTGGACACAGACAGAATGAGGAGCACAAGGAAACATTAGTTGGTATGAGACTTATCACCTCAGCACACCAGCTGCCATCTGTTGTCACATTTTTCTGTGTGGACATAACAGTAAAGGAGAGTTTTAAGGATGGATTTGAAGAAGGACAAAGAGGTGGCTTGGAAGATATTTACAGGGATCTCCTCAGGCACGATGGGCAGACAGGTAGAAAACACACAAGTGCTTGTTTGAAAATGTAACAAGTGATCAATAAAGGCTGCTGTAATTGGCAGAGCAAAGGTGGGCATCGTTAGACATCTCAATAACGTATGAGAGATGATAGGTAGCATGGAGAAAAGCCACAGACAGCCTTAAAAGTGAAGACAAGTAGTTCGTGTTTCATGTGATGGAGAAGGGGGAGCAAGAGGACAGATGAAAAGAGAGAGGTGGCCTGGACAAAGCCAGGAAAATGATCTGTGCAATAGCAAAACATTATGATCATGTTATGTGAACTATGTTACAACCTTGAAAAGATCAAAATAAGTCCTGTTCACAGAGGCAAAAACCAGACCACATCACAGCCCCATTAAGCCACAGCAGGTTTGTCATTTGCTGCCCCAACATAGTTGGGATTGTTGTGTAGATGGGACCGGAGATTTATGGTAGAACAATTTGTAATGATTGCATAACATTTGTAATAACTTCTCTTTAAACTGTAAAATGTTTATTATTTTTCAATGTTATGTGAAGTACGTCCTTTTATACCCAGAATAGTTATCAGGGGCAGCTTTAAAAGTGCCACTTTACTCTCAAAAGTCACTCTAATGTCCCAGGGACTCCAGTGTAAATTAGATCAGCCAACGATTAAAAGATGTGATATTTTTGTTTTGTTTTTGTTTTGTTTTAAACTGCCAGCCCCATAAACTCAACCTGGGGTCTAAACTTCAAGCTGTATCCTTGGATGGAGCAGAAGGCTTTTCTCTTCCATTGTTCTTTGAGTGATTGTCCACATTGATTCTACTCTTGGTGCACATGCACCCGTTGTGCATGATCTCACATTATTGTGCCCAGCAGTATTTGTTGGAGCCGCACATGCGCCTGAGTTCCCTTGTGCCCCTAACCCAAGGGCATAAGTCATAAGCAGTGGACCAAGTCTAGCAGTCTCTCATTTCCTTCTTAACATCTGTGGCAGTGAGAATGAACCCCCACTGTGTCCACCCGCTTCTCTGCGGCTTCGTGTTTGTTTTGTTGCTCATTGGCAACACACACAAAAGTTCTGATTTCAGTCAGATTCTGGTTTTTAGGCACCCCTGTACTGACTGTTAAGAGAGCACCAATGTTAGCCATTAAACCTGCAGACAGCATCTCTCTTAGTAATGATCCTTCAGCAACTGGTGCTTCTGTACAGGCAACCTTGAAACCATGTTCCTCAGTGCCCAGACTGGTCCCTAGTGTGTTGGTACTCAAGGCATATATAGTACTGAGTGATTTATCTGTGGCTCAGTACTAGTCTCCTCTCCTTGAGCGGTTGAGGATTCTGACACATCAGTACAGCAGGTAAAGGAGACAGCTCCAGTACCGACCTCACCCCCTATTCAGCTGAGGAGAGCACAACAGAGCCAGGATGCTCCTGACAGTCCCTCCCTTGAAAGAAATGTACTCCTTTACTTCATCCCCATCAGGGCATAACAGGGACTCCTCTCCTATGCACCTTACCCTGCTTAGGAAATGCCACAGGAGCCACAAAGTACTCTAAGGAAGTATGTGTAAGGGACAGCAGGAAATGTCATAGGGAAAATCCTTTCTGGTGCCACCTTCCCCAGTACCTATACTCATATCTGCCCTGGTTCTACTGGACACCTGGACGGGGTGGGGTAGAATATATGCCTCAGTCTGCCAGACTTCCCTTGTGCTCCATGAAAAAGTATCTACCCAGTAGACACCACATGATCCCACAAGAAGTCCTCTCCCCATTAAACTGGTGAAAAGACCCAATTCAGGTATGCAAGGGAGTACTCTGTTCTGCACCTCTACCTACCAAGAGATTAGCGATTAAAAACCTTCACTTGGGGATGGAGGACTCATCTAAATTAAACTCAAACTAAGGACCTATGAGCCCCCCAGGAAGCTCATCTTCACATAAATATCCCAGAGCTCAGAGCTATCTGCCTGGCATGCAAAGCACACCTACCGCTGCTCCGGGAATCCATGATCCAAGCACTGACCGACAACCCCACAGCTAATGTCAACAGACAGGGGGAGCAAGACTGTCTCCACTCTGGAGTTGGTGCATTCCAGATCAAATCACACCAGCGGCACTGCACCTTCCTGGCCCTCAAAACAGCTTGGCAGATTGACTTAGCAGGTAGTTCTCAAACAACCAGGAGTGGTCTGTCAAAGACTCAGTTCTGCAGAACATCTTTCACACTTGGTGATTCCCAGAAATAGACGTGTTTGCTACAGACCAGAACAACAAAACATCAGGCATTTTGCTCCTGAGGCGGTTCAAGCCTAGGCTCCTTGACACTGAGATGAACATATACCTTTCTGCCAATTCCTAAGATACCAAGGGCTCTGAGAAAGTTCAGGCAAGACGCAGTTGATTATGACGACACATCTTGAAGAACTGCAGTTAGTGTAAGGCAAGTAACTGTTCTTTTCTATTTGTTTCATTCAGCATACCAGCCTTACCAGCCATGAGCACCAGCAGTTCAGACTCCAGCTGCCGACCCTTATTCCAGGACAGAAAAGGGCCAGGGAATGTGAAAAAGAAATATCCCTCCTTCTCTCCAGCCTTTGTTGAAAGGCTCTTTCAAATACGATGCTCCCTCTAATCCATGGGGATTCACACTGTACATAACTGTCATGGTTTCTCTCTCCAGGTCCTGGCGCATACACTATCCCTCGGGTGATGGGACCCAACACAGTGGACAAAACTGCTAGCCCTTGTTATTCCATGAAATGGAAGAGTAAGCTTGGTCGCTTTGATGAGGATCTCCATAAGGTAAGCTGCTTTTCCATTTCCTCTCCAGCTGCTCTCATTGACAACCAGTGATCAGTCACTGCCTCCAGGACTGAAGGCCTCTAAGCACTGGTGGGTTCTTTCCTAGTACTTGAAGAGATACAAGTGTTCTGCAGCATGAACAGATACAAATGCTGCAGCTGAAGACTGGCAGCAAACATGGCTGTTCTTAGTAACTGCATCATTGGCAAGTCAGGGCTCAAACTGTATCTGCAGCAAGTACCTGTCTAAGGGCTTGATCCAAAACCCATCAAAATCAATGGGAATCTTTCCAATGACTACCATAGTTTTCAGATTAGGCCTAGTTCTTGTGCTATGCCTAAGCACCATGTTGCCTGAAATGCATCTGGAAAAGGAATTGGGATGAGGACAAGAAATGTGTTAAGCGACAGAAATGCAGATATGAAATTTCACATCAGGACACACATAGAATATCAGGGTTGGGGGACCTCAGGAGGTCATTTAGTCCAACCCCCTGCTCAAAGCTGCAATATATCATTTATGTTCCAGAGGAAAAGTCTTTTGCTCCAGTGTTATGGTTACTGAGTATTCTGACATCTTATTGTGCAGCATATTCAGTAGCAACATTTCAAACTCAAATTTCTCTGCCATCTCCAAAGAATTTTTCGTACTGAAATACCTACCGTGATCCATGTTCCCAGACAATAAGTATGTGTAAAAAGTCTTTTTAAAATACCCTGTCGTCGCCGTCATTAAAAGGTCATCAGTTGCCTGCGGTAAACACAGCAGCATCTGAAGGCCCACAGCTTTCTTACAATAGGAAATAACTGTCGGGTCTCAGATGCTGCTGTGTGGTAAGAGTTGGAACCAGATTTTTTTTTTAAATGATTAGCATTGCGTGTAACAATGAGGGAGGTGGGAAAGCAAAACGGATACCTTGCTCAAGCGTATTTTCTGGAGATAATGATCCCTCTAGGTAGAAGGCTGTAGCAACATTCCTAGTGCCACCTACCAAACTAATGGTCAGATTTCATGCCTATGATAACATCATACTAAGTGAAATAAGGCTGTGTAGCTGAATACCATGGAACGTTACATATTTACAAAATGATTATTTTTGTATTAGATGAAAAATGATCATGTGCCGATTCTTGCTAATTATCTAAAACCTTCTGAAAACATTGGGCTTTTAAACAAATCTTTTATTGTAAGCCACATATAAAAGCCAGTGAAGGTGACAGGTACCTAACGCTTGCAGAGACAGAACAATGGCACTTTCATTTCAGTTTGAGCCACTGTCTCCCTGCAGTGTGTTAAAAGGGAAATGGCTCAGGCTAATAAGACTTCAGACATCTAATGTAAACTTCTAAAGGACACGACACTGTTGAGAGGGAACCCTTCTGCAAAAAAAAAAAAAAAAAAATTGTTGAAATTAGTTGTTGCAGATAAACCTATGCAGCTCTCATAGGAAACTGGGGATATTGAATGTAGCCATTTTCAACGGAAGATTCCATTGACTCTCTTACAGACCCCAGGTCCAGCTGCATATAAAAAGACAGACACTGATGTGTACAAGAAGAGAGCCCCCAAGTACAGCATGAGCTCGCGGACTAAGCCTGCAGGAACTGTTAGACATCCTGGACCAGGAGACTATTACCCCGGAAAGGTAAGGCAGAAAGATCTAGAGGGTAATTTACTTGAGTCAGAGAACAAAGAGTCGTAGGCTACAGGGCTGGTTTGTATTTAAACTCCTTGCGTTGACAAGACTTGATTTAGAGCTATCACGAAAATTTGCTTTTTCCAGGAGAGTTCAGCATATAAAAATCCAGATTCATATAGCAAGGACAAAATCCTTCAATATATCAGTGCATTAAGATGAGTATTGGCAAGAAGGGACATCAATCTGCATGGAAGAGCTACAATTAATGTTTTACATTACTGCCCTGAAGAGGCCATGTTTGAACAAGTCAAAGTTAAATTTAAAAAAACAAAAACAAAAAAAAACACATCCCACAATATTAATGCATTATTGAGACAGATTAATTGCAGAGAGTCAAGAAACTGGACAGGTTTCTTTGAGAAATCCTTGTGCATATCAATGCCGGCGGGATCTTTCATTCTTTCTGTCTAGGTATGTATTCATCAGATATCTGAGCCTACATGAGCACATGTACAAAAATACAAAATATTATATTTGTGCACCTGGGATTAAAGAAAAAAGATATTGTTTAAACAAATAGAATCAATCATTTCACTATCAGCCGCTGTTGTAGGAGCATAAACTTGTATGATTGATATGTGGACTCAAAGACAAACCGTAATGATTCTATTGCTGATTGAGTTATATCCAAGCACACACTTTGATGTTTCCTTGGATAACTGCGACCCCATTTTCTCAGATCCTGAGTAGTATGCTGCGTATCCATCCATTGTAATGGAACAGCCCCTACCATTTAATCACAGCTCTGAGATTCCACATATTTCTTATATCTTTCCAATTCTTTGGTCTCCAGGGAGAGATTCCCTTCACCCATACTCTTCACATTCCACGTGTCTACTCTGATCATTCCTTTACAAAGGTTCAAGTCACTCTTCCTTGGTGCAAACATCAGGTTCATCCTGAAGGATTGGGTACAGCACCATCATAGCTGCAACTGGTACTCTTAACGGCCAGAACCTCCTCCCCAGTATAGTTTGTTGTGCTTTCTAACCTGGGGGTCTTGCCATCCAGCACCACACGGAGATTAATGTTTCGCCTTTGTTCTAGCATGGAAGTACAGAAGGTTGTTTCCTGTTGACTCCCCTCTGGTTTTTAGCTGCTGTTGATTAAATACTTGATTGAACTTTTCCACCTTTTGATGGCCCTTCCTCCATCAGAGTCCCATTACCCTCCCCAGGCCCTCATCCAGCCAAAACACTGACATGAAGTGTGCCAAGTTACTTGAATGCCACTCTGCACCCAGCATCAGCCAGTTGGACTACTTTTTGTCTGGTCCCTACCCTTTGACTTGTACAGCTTGGGTGGCCCTATCAGGAGATAAAGCTCTTGCTGGCATAGCTATCAAGCTCATTGGAATATGTAAGCCTTCTCTATGCCAAGGTGCAATGCCAAGGAAGGGTTCTATGAACGCTGAAGTTGGAAGTATAAGTTCTTCCGAAGCTTACTGAAACAATAGTTTTGGTTTACAAAATGAGAAAAAGGCGTTTAGTTGAATTTTGCTGCTTTCATCACCTGGGTCTTTACAAACACCATCTGCACCCATCACCCTAAACATTTAAACACATAGAAGTCACCTGATAGTACGTCAAAGAACCAAATTGTCTATGTAATGATATAGCAATGTTGGAGATCGAGCATCCAATGGATACAGAGACTTTCCCAAGCGCAGACTGTGGGTCAGACCACCAACTGTTAGCCTCAAAAATAAACTGAAAACGGAAAAAGGTAAGATGTTCGGCAGGTCTGCTACATTTGGATCGGTCCAGAATCAACAAAAACTACATGACTTCTGTCCAAAATGGGTTTGAGGCGTTGTCACAGGTAAAAGAACAACCTGAATAAACTTCGGAATAAAATGAAAACTATCATGCTGAAAGCTGCCAAATTATACATTCTGAAAAGTCAGTGTCACAGTGCACCACACATGACTGAGAAAGGGCTTGAGCAGGTGGCACAATAATGCAGAATGGAAAAGAATGGCTTAGAGACTTCAGAATGAAAGAGAGAGTACAAGGAACTAAACTGACCCAAAGGCAGATTAGATGAGACAACAGCAAATACATCAGGGCAAAATGCATGGAACTTGCGAACCACAAAGAGTAATAATACAAAAAGTTTGTTCACAGTAGTTAGACTTCTTAACAAAAAGTTTTCCCTGCAATTGAACATAACAAAAGATCATGATGGCAGAATCGTCACTGAAAGTGATATCAAATGCTGAAGGAGAGATTACTCTGCCAATCTTTATGCTTCATTAGAACCACTCAGAATATAGGGCAACAGAAAGGAGAGTACAGAACCAGAGCCATCAATCCCACAAGAGGAAGTAGTGTGTACTATTATGAAAATGAAGCCATGGAAAACACCATGGAAAGGTAAAGTACCAGCAGAACTACTTAAAGTGACTCATGCCTGCAGAATTGATCTCATGGGGAAATTTTCCAACCATGTATGGATGACTAGAAATTGGCCAGACAACTAGATGAAAGGTAGCCTGCCATTACCAAAGAAAGGAGACATAACAGAGAACAACAGTTGTATCCTCTGCCTGATATCACAATTGACCAACGTTTTGCCCCACGCAATCCAGGATTGAATGAAGCAAATGACAGAAGCAGAGCTACTGCCACCACCAGTTGTTTTCAGAGAGGAACAAGATGCGTGATCAAACTGTGAACAGTCAGTCAGTCACATCACTGAAAAATGCAGGGAGTACGACCACCTGCTGATCATGTGTTTCATGGACTACTCAAAAGTGTTCAATACTGTCCAACTTGATCATCTTTGGAGGATAATGGCAGCTTTGCAAGTTTCTACCCTCAACAACAGACCACAGTGCACACTGCTGCAGGCAATAGCTAGTGGTTTTCCACTGGGCTGTGCGTGAGACAAGGGTGTATTCTGTCCCAAACTTTTTCAAGAGGTATGCAGAATGGAACAAACCCTGGAAGATTTTGATAAAGTGGAAGGAGCTGGGATTTCCATTGGTGGACCCCCTCTTAACTGACCTTAGACATGCCAGTGACAACACCTGTTGCTACAACCACTGGTGGAATGCAATGAATGTTGGAATTTGTAAAAAGTGACTGAGGAATGTGGACTATCCCTGAATACTGTAAAAATGAAGTGCATGTATGTTGACATGATTAACAAAAACAGGATGAAAGCGGACATCACGATTAATAGTCAAATTGTAGAGGTAATAGATGAATTTGGTTATCTGGGATCATACATATCCAACCAAGAAGGCTGTTCAAAAGAAAGTGGAAGAAGATTAGGAATGGATTGCTCAGCCATGACCTCCCTTCACTAAAGTTTAGAAAAAACATGATATCTCAAAATGTATGAAGGTTTGATTGGTGAAAAGCTTAATTTTCTCAAGAGCAACCTATAGATGTGAATTATGGGTAATGAATGTTGGTAAGTAGATGAAAACTGAAGCCTTTAAGATGTGATGCTGGCAAAGATTCCTGCATATCTCCTGGATGGAAAATACGACAAATGCTTAAATTAGCAGCATTATTGGAAAGAAGCAGACCATGTTGTTGGAAATCAACAGGTGTAAATTTATGTCCTTTGGTCACATCAGGCACAGAGATGGAAATAATCTTGATAAAGTTATCCTGGATGGAATGGTGGCAGGTCTTCATAATAGGGGATGACTGGGAAGGAGATGGACACCTTCTAAGTGTTCAAAGCTAGTGATGGATTGAGAAGGCTTCTGAAAAGTCTGCTGTGATGTCACCAATATTCAGACATGAATAAATAGATTTGATTTACTTCAACAAATGCACAAGTTTATTTACACAAATACATTTGAAGAGCAGCATCAAAATTAGTGCAGCCTCTTTCACCTGTATTGATTTTTTACAATTATAAATCACATTTGCTTATATATAGAAGTACCTGAAGTATCCTAAAGTGGCAGTTTTAGAAATTTACAAACTAGTTTGGGGATCATTTTAATCTGCCACTGCTGTCCCCTCAGTGATGAAATGTAGCAACTCTTTTTACAGCATATAATATTGTAAGAATGCACAGTTTAGAAAAGGAAGTCAGAGATACTGTACCCCATTGAAACTGCAAGGAGGAAGGCAGAATTATCCCAGTTGGAAATGTGGCCAAGATACTGCAAATTGCGAACTGTTTCATAAGGTGCCAGTGGGATTTTTAATAACCACACAGAGAAAAGCCCTAGTTTAAGTTTCACATGAAAGACACACTTGGCAATTACTGTGTCACTCTGCACTGTGTTGTGTCATCATCACCATACACACACACACACAACCCTTTCTTTCAGTAATGCAATTTATATGTACAAGGGGACATAATTAAGAATACTTACAAATATTTCAGTTAGAAGCCAGCTAAAGCTGGAATATAGGATTGAAAGCATTTTGAAATTTGGGTAAGTACCGATACAGACAACTTCACAGCTCATCCCTAACGCTAATTGTGTGGCGGGGTGTTAAATAAAAAATAAAACTGTTTTTAAAGGGACCACTGAAATAAGAAAGATTGAATAGATTTTACACAAATATTCCTAAAATACTCCTCTCTGGTCTAAGAAAAAAGCCCAGGAACTCTCAACCCAAATGGCTGCACTCTCAAAAGTTATTATAGAAACAACTGATTAGAGGGGGTTGGAATAAAAATACCAACTTAACGGGAACAGTTAAATGTATTCTAGCAACAATAAAAGGAGAGAGGCATAAACTGGACAAGGTGGGATATATAGGAGTATCTGTATAAGTAAACCTATAGAATCATAGAATATCAGAGTTGGAAGGGACATCAGGAGGTCATCTAGTCCAACCCCCTGCTCAAAGCAGGACCAACCCCAACTAAATCATCCCAGCCAGGGCTTTGTCAAGCCTGACCATAAAAACTTCTAAGGAAGGAGATTCCACCACCTCCCTAGGTAATGCATTCCAGTGTTTCACCACCCTCCTAGTGAAAAAGTTTTTTCTAATATCCAACCTAAACCTCCCGCACTGCAACTTGACACCATTAGTCCTCGTTTTGTCATCTGATACCACTGAGAACAGTCTAGATCCATCCTCTTTGGAACCCCCTTTCAGGTAGTTCAAAGCAGCTATCAAATCCCCCCTCATTCTTCTCTTCCGCAGACTAAACAATCCCAGTTCCCTCAGCCTCTCCTCATAAGTCATGTGTTCCAGTCCCCTAATCATTTTTGTTGCCCTCCTCTGGATGCTTTCCAATTTTTCCACATCCTTCTTGTAGTGTGGGGCCCAAAACTGGACACAGTACTCCAGATGAGGCCTCACCAATGTCGAATAGAGGGGAACGATCACGTCCCTCGATTTGCCGGCAATGCTCCTACTTATACATCCCAAAATTCCATTGGCCTTCTTGGCAACAAGGGCACACTGTTGACTCATATCCAGCTTCTCGTCCACTGTAACCCCTAGGTCCTTTTCTGCAGAACTGCTGCCTAGCCATTCGGTCCCTAGTCTGTAGCGGTGCATGGGATTCTTCCGTCCTAAGTGCAGGACTCTGCACTTGTCCTTGTTGAATCTCATCAGATTTCTTTTGGCCCAATCCTCCAATTTGTCTAGGTCCCTTTGTATCCTATCCCTAACCTCCAGTGTATCTACCTCTCCTCCCAGTGTAGTGTCATCTGCAAACTTGCTGAGGGTGCAATCCACACAATCCTCCAGATCATTAATGAAGATATTGAACAAAACTGGCTCCAGGACCAACCCTTGGGGCACTCCACTTGATACCGGCTGCCAACTAGACATGGAGCCATTGATTACTACCTGTTGAGCGCGACAATCTAGCCAGCTTTCTATCCACCTTATAGTCCATTCATCCAGCCCATACTTCTTTAACTTGCTGGCAAGAATACTGTGGGAGACCGTGTCAAAAGCTTTGCTAAAGTCAAGGAATAACACGTCCACCGCTTTCCCCTCATCCACAGAGCCAGTTATTTCGTCATAGAAGGCAATTAGATTAGTGAGGCATGACTTGCCCTTGGTGAATTCATGCTGACTGTTCCTGATCACTTTTCTCTCCTCTAAGTGCTTCAGAATTGATTCCTTGAGGACCTGCTCCATGATGTTTCCAGGAACTGAGGTGAGGCTGACTGGCCTGTAGTTCCCAGGATCCTCCTCCTTCCCTTTTTTAAAGATGGGCACTACATTAGCCTTTCTCCAGTCTTCTGGGACCTCCCCCGATTGCCATGAGTTTTTAAAGATAATGGCCAATGGCTCTGCAATCACATCTGCCAACTCCTTTAGCACTCTCGGATGCAGCGCATCCGACCCCATAGACTTGTGCTCATCCAGCTTTTCTAAATAGTCCTGAACCACTTCTTTCTTCACAGAGTGCTGGTGCAGCAGTCTGGGAGCTGACCTTGTTCATGAAGACAGTCTCACAAACTATTATCATTTATGAGAAATCTATTTCATCAAGGAACTGACGCTGGGTGTGGTGCATCCAGAAGCAACAAGGCTACTTATCTAAGGAAAGAAGCTGCATTTTCAGACAGCCAACATCAAAGGTTAAACACCAGACACGCCTCATCTTGTTAGGAAATTTTGCAACATTTCACCCGGCGTTCAGAGAAGCTGATTGCTCTTCCACCATTCTAATCTGGTTGTGTGATCTAGACTGTCTGTGCACCAACCTGCCCCTTCAGTTACAAACTTTTCACTGACAAGAATCTAGTAAAAGGGGCACGTGTGTGATAATAGGTGACCTGGACTGTCCAGATCTTGTACTTGATTGGGGAGGGCATGTAGCGTAGAAAGTAGAAACTAATTAACCTGATGCTAGTTAATGGTGAATATCCTGATTTGTTGTAAAGGAGTACTTGTGGCACCTTAGAGACTAACCAATTTATTTGAGCATAAGCTTTTGTGAGCTACAGCTCACTTCATCGGATGCATACTGTTTCCACGGTATGCATCCAATGAAGTGAGCTGTAGCTCACGAAAGCTTATGCTCAAATAAATTGGTTAGTCTCCAAGGTGCCACAAGTACTCCTTTTCTTTTTGCGAATACAGACTAACACGGCTGTTACTCTGAAACCTGATTTGTTGTATTTCCTTTTCCTTCTCCAGGTAACACTGACCAAGCCTTGTGCCCCAGTTGTTACCTTCGGAATCCGACACTCTGAGTATACAATGCCTTTGACAGTGGATGTCTATTGACCTTCACACAAGCCGCCTTACAGAAACTAAACTTATTTTTCTATATCATGTTGCTTTATATTTTAAAGCTGCCAGTTTTTATTCAAGTTATCTTACAATTAACAATCATCTATCTTCAAACAAGTAATAAGTTTCTACAAGTTCTAGCACTAAAGGATGACAAATATTCAGAAAATAATCACTTGCAATATTTTAACTTGCCTCTGGCTATGAAGGAATTTTCCATATCCCCCCTTAATGAAGAGGACATGCTGAAGCTAGCAGTATTACCTTGGCGTGTGGATCTTGCTGTATCTACCTGCTGAGAGTCTGAACCCTGGCACTAGTGCATTGCCACATCTGGATCCTGTGTTCCAGAACCCAGAAATTCACAACTGTATACATAGTCACTCAATTTTGTACTACTGAGCTATTTTGTTGTTTGTTTACTCCTGTGATGACCCTCACTGTGTGTGTCATTTATCCCTTTTATTGTGTTCTATTGCAGTATCAGCATGTAAAGAAAATAAATCAGGGAGTCAGTATTTATCATGTCAAAGTAGCTGAATACCTCAATCTACCTTTAGATTGGGGCTACAGACTAAAGTTTAAAGGGATAGTGTGTGGTTAAAACAAGTTCTTACATGTGTTACATCTTTAAATTATTAAAACAAAACTTTAAAAATTTAAATGGGCTCTTCACCACTCATTCCTAGTTTACATTTTCCTCTTCACTAATCTTGGATAATGGGGAGGGGGACAGGGGGGAGAAGGGGAATGATGATTAGTGAATTTCCACTTCTGGTTCTCATGCCTTTGCAAAATATTGCCAGTTTAGAATTGCTGGAAAACGTTAAAATCCTAAATTCAAAAAACCTTTTCATTAAATTTAAGAAAAAAGTTTCATTAGAATTTTTAAAAACCAAAGTAAGCCTAGATTGCCAAACAACATCCCCTTAACCTAGGAGAAGCACTGTTCTTGCTCTCTCAGCTGCTGTATGCCGGATGGCTGTGAATATGCAGCGCCTTGCAAGGTCCACCTGCAGGCCAACCATGACTGCAGGCTGCATTCAGGACCTATTCCCTTCATACTCCCCCAGAGGAGCATACTGCCCTAAAGAGGAAGAGGTGAAGCTATGGACACACTGCAGCTGCACATCACCATTTGGAGCAGGCCTGACACAGCAGAGGAGGGAAGTTGCTCCTGTTGAAGTGGTATAGAAGTAGATATTCTCCTTCTGAATTACAGGGGACAATTCTGTCTCTGTGAGGCTTCCTCCCCAAGTTCCATGCAGAAATGGTGCAACTCTGCACCATCCCTTGCTATGAGCAGTGCTTAAGTGCCACAGCCAAGCCCAAAGAAGGTTAACACAATTATTGCTAAGGACAAATGGTCTCCCCCACTTAACCAAGCTGGGAACACCAACAGTCCCTCCCCTGCATTTATTGGTCTCTCAAAGTTTTACTTAGCCTTTCAGGGCAAGGTTAGTGTGAAGGTGGTGATGGGGAAGCGAACTGTTGGACTGCAGAGGACACTGTTGACCTTTATTTTAAAAATATTTTTAAAATAAAATTTCAAAACAAGAAGTCATTTTGAATCAAAAATCAAAGTACTTCATTCCAAAAATGAAAACAATTGGGACAAGTGTCAAACAATCCGTTGAAACCCATGGGAAGTTTTGGTTTTGACAAATCAGCATTTTCCAACAAAAATGGTTTAAAAGTTCCTGACCAGCTCTATTATTGACTCCTGAGCAAGATGGGCGACTTGTACTTTAGTGATCATTTTTCCTCTTCATCCCAAAGTCAGTGGGGGACAATTTATCTTCTTCTTTATGGATACATGCAGATCCCATAGGGTGCTATCTTGTCACACCTTCTGGTCTAATGCATCTTAGAGCTTAGATGTAATCTTCACTGTCCACTGTAGTGAGTATGGTATTACTGATGTATTTAATGTTGTGCATCAATGCAGGTTCCAAGGCAATAGGTCCTATAAAAAGTGAACCATGTATATGTTTGGAAACTGGCTAGTATAATACAGCTTTGGACCACGATAAGAATATACACATATAATTACTGGTGCAGCATCTTAAGGCAGTACAACTTTATTCACACCATAAAAAGCAAAATAAAGAGATAATTGCTCTGGCAAGAATTAGAGTGCTTTGGAGTTCTTTGGTCAGGAAAGATTTGCTTGAGGGAAGCAGACGGAACACTCAAGTGAGCCACCCAAATTTTTTAGGCATGTAAAATGAGCTCAGAAGAGCCAAGTCTTACCAAAAACAAGATTCAAACAGGACTGAGTCAACTGAGCCAAGAGCCAGAGTGGATCATCGCTGCATCCTTCTCCCTCTATCCCTATTGCACATTCTATCTTTGGAACAGGATAAGGACACAAGTTACAGTACATCAGCTAATACATGAGAAGATCAATATTCAAGGTAAGAAGCAGATTAAGAAAACTGGATCTAAATCTGCAGAAGGATCAACGTTCTGTGGCTTGTAAGAGGGAAATTCCTCAATGTCACACAGTGTCATTTGTCAGGGTGAGGCAATATACACAGGGATTAGGGGATATGGGTTTGTTCGGGGAGAAAAATAAACTGTATAGAGGATATATTCTTTGGTCTTAGAGAGGTGGTTATATCAAGAGGAATAAGAGATAGCCAATCATCAAGCAAGGAATACTTACAGGAAAATCCAGAGGAACCCTTGGAACAAATATACACACACTACAAAACAATTATGGTAGAGTTGTTTTGTACCATAAAAGCCTTTTAAAATAATGTATAGCGTTTTGGGTGTTTTTTTAAAATAACAGTAGTATTTTTAGAATGGTTTATTATAACTGGAGGCAGATATAAATAATTCAGATGGGAGAACATACATGGGTTGGAATGAGAGGGGAAATGACAAGATCAATGAAAGGTGAGAGAGAGAAGGGTGATTTGGGATGAGCATTCTGAATCAGGGTACAATACAGAATAAAGATGTAGTGCTGAAAGATCATAAACAACCTTCATCCACACAGCATTCTAACGCACAGAATTATGTAGAATCATCATAGAACAGGGTGCATACTGTATCTCAAAGTGCTGCAAGCTCTGGAGTGATGGCTTCACAAACAATAGACAATACTTGCTCAGGTATGTATTCCAGACAGTTGCACAGTGACATGCAGCGTACCTACCAGGTGATGTGGGGGGGACAAAGAATTGAGAATTCTAAGGTTACCTCTTATTTTAAATCATCCCTATGATCAGCCCACTTAAGACGACAGATCTAAACTCCATCTTTACCTATGGAGTGGAAATGTCTTCCCAACAATACCAAAGTGTCGTATTATGGGAATGCCAGTACCAACTATACGAACAACTTCCCCCTCTAGATTATTTACACAATAGTTTCCAAGCCTTTTGTAAAGTAATGTTTTTTTCCCTCTTCAGTTTTTCAACTCTCTCATGTCTTCTATGGTTGCAACTGAGCACGTATGTACTTGTCACAAGAGCCATGATATTTGTGCTACAGAAAAATTACTGCCACCAGCCATCTCTTTACTGCCTTTCCCCATCCTCGGCTATGAGACAAGCAGGTCAGTAGAACCAAGCTATCATGGTGGTAAAAGCCTGCTCTGATACAAAACTCCATCAACCATTCATGATAACAAGTAGTAACTACTCAACTCAGTACCTACCACACGATTTAGTTCTTCAGAGCATTGTACAACAATTCTAGCCTAGTGAGAAGCTGTTGGTATTAATGTATTTCAAAACATAAAATGAGATTAACTGACTTCCCAAGAGCACAAAGTAAGCCACTGACAGAGCTGGATTAGAACTCAACAGCTCCTGCCTCCCAGGCCCACATTTAGACTTCTCAGACTCCCCAGCTCTGCTCATTTATGAATGGAGTACAGGCACATTGCTACTATGGGTTGAGTCAGACACTTTCACATAAACAACACTGCACGTCCCTAAGGTGGGCATGACATGGTTATGAGCCAGGTAATAGATGAAGGCTAAAGGTCATGGACAAAGCAATAAATGAAGGCTAAGTGTCAACAAGGAGATCAAGTTGTGGTATACATACATTTAAAAAGATCAGAACGAACTATATTCATTTTATGAAAAAATCTGATGAATATGTCCAAGACTGATTAGAAAAATGACAGTAACTTGGAGTCCAGAGACGTTATGGTCCTCCAGGAATATCCCAACAATCCTTGACAGGGTAGACTTGAGGATAGCTTTGAGCAAGTCTCTGTCTATCATGGCCACAGTTTTTCTTTCCATAAAAATTCCAGGATGAGGACCCTACTCAAGTCCGTGCTTTTGACACGAGATAATAGAGGATGAAAAACACAACCACCAGTCCAGCAGAAACGTAACAAAGCAGTTTGCGATTATCCCTTCCTGAGCGTGTCATGGTGGAGAAACGCTTCACACTTCCCGTCAGCAGGCCTGTCACGCTCATGAAATCGGAGTCCTGAGGGAGACAGAATGGTGAAATGGAGAAATTATAAAACAAATGGGGCTCTCTCTAGAGAGTGCTACTTTTTAAAGCAGAACCATTTCAGTTTCTAGTTGCCTGTGGAACTGACTAACTCCTAAGTCTAGAATCAAAAAAGGAAAAGAAAAATACAAGCAGCAATCAGTCTTTAAGAAATCAGTGTCCGGTACTCCCACACTCAGGCTCCACGGACAGAATATTGCCTTCAGTTCATTCAATGCAGTTAGATATTTGAAGGTCAAATAAAGTTCTATTAAATGCAATGCACACCCCCAAAATATAACGCCAACCTATGTCAATGCAACTTTTGGTATCTTAATTGCACACAAACCAGAAAATGCAGAATTAAAGGTCCTCAGAGCAACCTTAGTTTTGTCCTATTCTACGTATGCATTACGACAGGGTCCTCAATTATGTCATACTACACACCACACACAGTATAGCTAGTAATACAGAATGCTACTTATCTATCTTTAAGGGCTTGTCTATACATGGAGTTATTCCTGATTCCAGGTGTGGAAACTCTTACTCTGGATTAAGACTTCCTATACATGCAGTTAATTGGGGATAACTCCATGCATAGACAAGCCCAAAGGTTTAGAAAAAGGTGCAGTTTCTTGCCATCAGATTATAATGTTATTTGCAGACTAGAACACCACATTGCTCAGTGCTGTGTCATCAGACCATACTGTAATGCAAATTCTCTCCTCTCAAGCCCCCCTTTTCTTCTCCTGTCTTTTGTTTCGGTCTTCTCACATAATTACCATTGTCAGCAGTTCCTTTTCCTTACTCAAAGCTCTAAAATCTACTGCTGTTCACTCTTCTAATTAAAGCTTCTCCTAACCTCCAAGTGCTTGGAGAGAAGGCGATTTTTTCAGTCACCTCTCAGAGAACCATATTCTTGAAGTCCGGCAGTCTAAAGTGCGACTCTGGATATAGCACAGAATGTACTTTTCCTTGATTAGTTCTCCTTTCTCATGATAGCTATTTCTTTTTTCCTCTTCACCTTTGACTTCAGTGCAGACTTTGGACCGTTCTTTCCTGCTACGCTACCTCCATAGACGCATAGGCATCTCCAGTTCCCTTGTTTACCAAAATTGCTGTTCATCTCTAGTAGTGGTTTCTCTTCTGCATCAAGAACCCTCCTATACAGAACTTACCAGGGCTCAGTTATTGGCCATATGCTTTCTTACATCTACTTTCTCCCTCTCCATTATGATCTTATCGCTCCCATTTTTATCCTCTGCTATAGTTTTTCAGCCACACTCAGGTGAACATGTTATCCAATAACTTTAATGCTGCATCCTTCCCTCGAGTCTTCCTTAATTATACGTAATTTGTGGCTTCCACTCAACTTTCCTCCAAGACATTTATTTGAAATGCTTCTCAGATAAAAACACAAATTAATCTCCTGAACATACCTTGTTGATTTAGAGTCAGATGAAGACCTTTTGCCCATAATCTTGCTGCTAACCTTTACCATCAACCTCCATTCTCCTCTCCTTCCCAATTCTGACTTTGTATGTGACTGTATGGATCCCATCCCTCTTGAAGACTTCATATACATCTTCATCCCATCTTGCTTTCAATCCTGCAGTTACCTTCTCTATGGCCTCCATGTTGCAGCTTCTCCAGACTCCAACATGTACAGAAAAGCAACTGCCTGATCTTGCTCATCAAGTAACAGCATGACCACCTTAGTCCCATCCTCAAACATCTGCACTGGATTCTCTTCCTTTCAGAATTTTTCCAAAACCCTCAGTGGGTAAGCTCTATGTTACAGATCTTCTCTCTCTGTTGCTACTATACAATTTGTATATATCAATTTAAGACTGCAGTGGGGGGTGAAATTAAGGGGAAATAAATTGAAATAAAAAATATGGAGGTTAAAAAGTAAGGTCTTTTTCCCTAGAATGCTAAATTAGGGCATCTGCTAGCCCACACAATGTATAGCAATTTCAGCCTTTCCTGAAGTTCCTGGATCTTCCATCAGCAGCCAGTGTTTAGAATACATAACCAGATTTTATTTTTGTTTTATAAATTATATTTGTTTTTCATAATACCTGTAGAAGTTAAGGTGGTAAGTGGAAGGAATAAGATACTTGATAACATGAGCAGATACCCATTTGCACAGAGTCCCAGCCTCAGCACTTCCAAAAAGAGTAGTGAATACAAAGCCCTGATTAATTCTATGGGTTTCAGAGATTATGGAAAGTAATCCTGACATATTTATAAACACTTCCAAAGTTACAAACAAAAATGACCAAGAAAGGCCTATATCTGAATATTAGCTTGAGGCAGAGGTTTTAATCCCAATAAGTAGATAATCTCCATCTGTATTTCTAAAATACATTGTCCTGTTCCAATGGTTCCTGTTACTAGTTGCTAGCTGTGTTAGTCTGATCAGACACAATGATATTAGCAGCTGGTAGGCTTCTGTTGGACTATGTACCAAAAAGCCCATACAAAATAGCTTCACATTTATCACCCAGCATTTGAGACGCTGCCAATTCCAATTGCTAGAATTTAATTTGGTGCCGTTTATGGGGGTTCTATGAAGCAAACAATTAAGACAACTCTTGAGATTCAGGACAGAGGTTTTCACCCCTTATGGACTTCTATCAGTTTCTTACCGTGCCATCCAGATAGCGGTTTTGATCCTCAGCATCTTTGTCGATATCCAGTGCCAGCTACTCAAGACAGAAGAAAGTGTCAGCATCTCCAAGTGAAACAATCAACTCCTAACATACTAGAAGCTGGTGAAATTCCAAGCACACATACAAGAGTGGCTCATCACTCCTACCACCTCCCACACATACACACAATGTGTTTGTTGAGTCCAATGTACACACCAATAGTTGCAGTAGAAATTCCTGAGATCTCCAGAATCAGAAATTCAGCTCTACAACCAACCACAGACAAACTTTTTTATATGAAGTCACCATGCAAATACTGGGAAAGTGAAAATGGAAAACAGACTCCAGTATTCTGCTAACTCTGTGGTCTCTGCATTAAGAAGTGTACATAAATCAAGGTTTTTCAAGCCAATGGAACTGATTTAGTCCCAGAATTATTATATGAATATAATGAATATGAATATTTTTAATATGGCTTTATTGAGACCTTCCAAAGAAGGCATCCTTAACAATATATCTTTGTATATCTTGCCCCCACCCCCCAATCACTTACCAAACCTAATTCCTTCTCTGGATGCCACTAAAACCAGAAAATTTTGTACCCTGGAACATAGTTAAATCCCAAATAAGGGATGAGGATTTCAATAAAATGCCCCAGGACATTCCAATAGCAAAAGTTAGCTACCTGACCAGTCATAGACAGTGATATACTTAAAAGCTTCACAAATAAGACAGCGCCATGTAACCTACTATGTGCTCTCAACATTCACGACGTCAGACAGTAAAGAAAATGTATGATGTGAAGTTAGCAACTAACCGATTTCAGCCTGGTGACCTTGGTGGCTAGATTGTCCGCCATGCGCTTGTTCTCCACATCTAGCATATCATCCACAGCACTTGGACTCTGACCTGAAAAAATCCTATCGGTTATGATACAACAAATGGCAGTGTATTTACTGGTTAAAATGGAGGAATGGCGTCAGGATTTCAGATTTCTATTTTCAGTTCTACCACAGACTTGCTGTGACACCTTGGGCAAGTCACTTAACTTTTCTATGCCTCCATTTGCACAGTCGTAAAATGGGGATAATAACGCTTACCTACTTTGTGTAGGTATTGTAAAGATCAATGCCCATGAAGAACTTTGAAATCCTATGATGAAAAGGTACTACAGAATTGCAAAGCATTACTACTAAAACTTTATGGAGCTTTTAAGAGTCATTTACAAGGAACTACGGAAAACACAACACCAAAGCTTTTGAGAAAATGCCTTCTTTTTAAGGCTGCTTTTCAGACAAATGCTAAACGGAAGGTTATGCAACTATGAGCAATATTATTTCAGGAAACTGTTTCAGCCCTGAACTACTGTGCCAGGTATCACTGGTCTGAAGTGAATAGCAAATTCACCAGGCATTTGACAGACAAACAAACTTTCTACATCTGAGTCCCTGCTCTTAAAAAATGCCTAATTCTGCCCTTAGCTGCAGAGGTGCATATTTTGGAAAAGCTTGGGCTTAAGAGTTTGCATGTGATATGCAATAATAAATAATAGTGGTTTGTTCTTCTGCAACAACTTCCATCTGAGGATGTCTAAGAACTTTGATGATTTGCGCCTCGCAACCTGTATATAAGAAACTGTACACTAGCTTACCTAACAAGACACCTGTACAAGTAGCTTCTGAGCCACTGCAGATATTGGTGCCAACTAAACCATGCCTCAAAAGGAGTATTACTTAAATGGAGGACCCACTGCTGAACTCTTGGGGCAGCAGAGGAGCCTGCAGTTCATAATGAGCATGCACACATGAGTCCAAAACATCCCCCACCAATCCTCAGTCCATCACACAGCTACACTTCAAACTATGGGGATGCAGGCAGTATCTGTTTAGCATTAAATACTCTGAACCCCTACTGCCCAAATGGAGGCAAGCAAAGTGACTAACAGGCACCTGCAGTCACATGAGACAGAGGGAGCATTGTGTGTCCTCACATGAGGGCAATGACTAGGGAGAAGAGGAATCTAGAACGGGGTTCTCAACTTTGTTGTTTCTGAGCTCCTCCCTGCCCCCCAACATGCTATAAAAACTCCATGGCCCAGCTGTGCCACAACAACTGGTTTTCTCCATATGAAAGTCAGGTCCGGCATTAAGGGGTAGCAAGCAGGGTAATTGCCTGGGGCCCGATGCCACAGGGACCCCAGCAAAGCTAAGTTGCTCAAGCTTCAGCTTCATCCCCGGAGTGTTGGGGCTCAGGGTCCCGGGCCGCAGTCCTGCATGACAGGGCTTTGGCTTTCTGCCCTGGGCCCTAACAAGTCTAACGCTGGCCATGCTAGGGGGACCCCCTGAAACCTGCTCACGGCCCCCATTGATCTAGAAGAGCCCATTGGAGAAACCTCCATGGCAGTGGTTGCAGGAGGGAGGGAGGCGGAGGAGTAACCCACCTTCCAGAAGGTGGACTTTAAATTTAAAAAGAACAAGAGTACTTGTAAAAAGAAAAGGAGTACCTGTGGCACCTTAGAGACTAACCAATTCATTTGAGCATAAGCTTTCGTGAGCTACAGCTCACTTTATCGGATGCATAGAATGGAACATAGAATAAGATTGTGTGTGTGTGTATCTATACACAGATAAGTTGGAAGTCACCATACAAACTGTGAGAGGCTAATTAGTTAAGATGAGCTATTATCAGCAGGAGAAAAAAACGTGTGTAGTGATAATCAAGATAGCTCACTTAGTTGACAAGAAGGTGTGAGGATACTTCGCTTAAGGAAATAGATTCAATATGTGTAAGGACCCAGCTACTCCCAGTCTCTATTCAAACCCAAGTTAATGGTATCAAGTTTGCATATTAATTCAAGCTCAAAACTTTAAATTTGTTTTACGAAATTACTATTTAGAAAACCCCACAATCACAAGGTGCTTAAACAACAAACCAAAGTGACTGCCTGATCGTAAATTCAAAACTACCAGCAAACCAAGCCAACCCCATCCACACCTATTTTGCACTGACGTGCCCCTCGCTGCCCCACAGACCCACACCTAACCAACTACCCACCCCATATCTTACCAACACGGGCCCCATTGTCCTCCCATCCCAATATCTTACTGACAGGCACCTCCCCACGCCCACCCTCCACCCCATACCTTACTGCCACCGTGCCATGGGCCTCATTGTCCCCTCAGCCGCCCCCAAACCACAGCAACTCCCTGCTCCCATCTCTTAGTGCCAGGCCCCCACCCCACTGCCAGGCCCCCACCCCATAGCCAGGCCCCCTCCCCACTGCCAGGCCCCGCCCCGCCGTTCCCTCTCCCCAGGCGGGCGCCCGGGCCCGGACAAATGGCGGCGGCGGCGGCCCGCAGTTGGGCCCGGGGCTGCCGGTCGCCCCGGGGCAGGAGGCGGCAGCGCGCGAAGCCCGGCCCGGGCTCACCTCGGCCCCAGTCCGCCATGGCCGCGTCCGGCCTCGGCGCCTCCGTATCCGGCTTCGGCCGCGGGCGGGCGGCTCCGGTTGGCGGGGGCGGGGAGCCGCAGTGACTCCGCCTCCCGGGGCGGGGCCTCCCCTGCCACCGGGCCCCGGCGGCTGCTGCGGGGGAGACACCGGCCCGGGAGCGTCCCGCCCAGCAGCCTGGCCCTCGCCCCCTCCCCCCCGACCGGGCAGCTGGGCCCGTCCCCTCGCCCATTGCCCCCCCCCCCGCCCGGACAGTCCCGTTCGCAGCCGGCCCTGGACACTCGGTTCCGATCCAGCCCCCCCGCTGCTGCCCCTCGGCTGGCCGGGCAGGGTGGCCGGGCTTGCCCATGCTGGGCAGGGTAGGGGGCCGTGTCCCACCGGCTGGGGACCCACGGGCAAGAAGGTGGATTAGCCTAGGGTGACCAGATGTCCCGATATTATAGGTTTCAGAGTAACAGCCGTGTTAGTCTGTATTGGCAAAAAGAAAAGGAGGACTTGTGGCACCTTAGAGACTAACCAATTTATTTGACTCTGTGTGTATATAAAGTCTGCTGCAGTTTCCACGGTATGCATCCGATGAAGTGAGCTGTAGCTCACGAAAGCTCATGCTCAAATAAATTGGTTAGTCTCTAAGGTGCCACAAGTCCTCCTTTTCTTTTTGTGATATTATAGGGAAAGTCCTCATATTTGGGGCTTTTTCTTATATAGGCGCCGATTACCTCCCCCCACCCCTTGTCCTGATTTTTCACATTGGCCATCTGGTCACCCTAGATGCGCCCCTTCTGTCTGATGGCTGAATACTAGTTGTGTTAGACCCATTGCAGTGGGGCCCCACGCCGGACTGGGTGGGGGTCTACAGCAGTAATACACCTGTGTGAGGTGTGGGTCTCTGTAGGGCTATAACCCACCCCAGCCTCTCACCCCTTTGGGTCAGTCAAGCTTAGGGTTGCCAGTTTTGGTGCCAGGTGTTCCTGGAGGTTTCATCACATGACATGATAGGCTTTGATTTCAGATTAATCTTTACCTCCTGGAGACTCCAGGACAATCCTGGAGGGAGTCCGACATCCCGATTGGCTGCTCCCCTTTGTTTAGGGTTTGCAGATTAGACAGTGCCACTCCTGGTGGTAGGCCTCAGTCCTGCAAACCATTCCCCCCGGGCTCCGTTTCTAAACCTGAGTGCTCGTACCGCAGTGCTGTTTTGTTTCGGCTTGTTGTGACATGGGAAACGTAGGAATATTTACATGTACAAAAATAAGCTTTGAGCGGCGTGGAAAAGATTTCTATAGTTTATTTTAATTAACAAAGCCTAATATCCTGGCCTAAACTTCCTCTGTCTCCTTCTCACACTGACAAAATGTTATTATTAATTTAATCCCCGAGCCTGCAATGTGATCCATGTGAGCAGACGCGTGCGCCTGCCCAGAGCCCCCGAGAGGTGTAGGATTCCAGCGACGGGGAACAGCGGGTAGGACCCAGGCTTTAGAGAGCTCCATCCGCGGGACCACGCAGGGAGGGAGCCACTCTGCCTGGCAGTAAGTCTTTCCACCATTGGGACACCGAGAACGAAGGGAGATGGGATGGAACAGAAAAACAGCGCCTGGGCAGTGATATTTAGCACATGCCTTGTTAGTTTCATAATGTTTGCTGTTTTATATTCCATAGCTTTAAATATTGCATCATAAATATTTAAAAAAAAAAACAACGAATAGGCGAAAAACAGAGAAAGAACAGGTTTGCCCAGCCCTGCTTATTTACTTTAGGGTTTTTTTTTTCCATCTGACCCTCCGTCTCAAACACAATGGAAGAGAGGATTTTTCATTGTTTGTCATTAATCCTCCCAGAAAAAGGTGTTCAGCACCTACAGTATTCCCAGATTGCATCCATTGTTTAACATTCTTCTGGCGGATCCCGGGAAGTTAACTCTGCCCCTCCCCCGATCCCAGACTTCCAGTAATGCAGCTTTTCTTTTGTCTGTTTCTTCTTCCCTACCCGAGGTGTTGCCACCCACCCCTTCCGAATCGGTTATCGGATGCTGCGTTACCAGCACGGGTCGCAACTTCCGTATGAGTCACACACACACACACACACCCCTCGCTCTCCCGCTCGCCTTGGACAGCGGGGAGGGGGAAGAGAGAAAGACCTTGATCTATGCAGGAAATAGCCCGACTTGATTATGTAAAGAGTTGTCACTTTGGATGGGCTAGCACCAGCAGGAGAGTGAATTTGTGTGGGGGGTGGAGGGTGAGAAAACCTGGATTTGTGCTGGAAATGGCCCACCTGTTGATCACTTTAGATAAGCTATTACCAGCAGGACAGTGGGGTGGGAGGAGGTATTGTTTCATGATTTCTGTGTGTATATAAAGTCTGCTGCAGTTTCCACGGTAAACATCTGATGAAGTGAGCTGTAGCTCACGAAACTCATGCTCAAATAAATTGGTTAGTCTCTAAGGTGCCACAAGTACTCCTTTTCTTCTCTTCCCCGCTACCCTGCCCTAGGAACAGCAGCCCAGCCGGGCGGATGACCCCACATTCCACCCTGCCGCCGGTGTCCGAGCTTGAAAAAAAACAAGTTTTTCTTTAAAACAAAGCAGGTGCCCTCACTAAACGCTGCATTGGAGGGGGGACAGCTGCTGTATTCAGGAAATAAGGCAGGAAACCTGAGCAAGTAAAGGTAATGTGCTTTATATGTATATTATTTAACATAGAGTAGCTCCTAATGTTTGTTTATACTCTTTTTCATTGATCTGGAAGGTGGAGTTGTTGTAACTGATTTAGCAACATTTTATCTTTTAAAATAAAGCTAACCCAATAATTATTATAATGGTTATTGTTAATTGTTGCAGACATTTTGCTTCTATGCCCTCTGTCTCTACTAAGGAGTCCCAGTCCCTACTTTTAGTAAAATAGTTACCATTGGTCCCATTCTGTCCCTCCAAAGTGATCAGGATTTCTTAAAAGATTGATTTATTATGAAAGATTAAAAGATATGTACATGTGTAGTTCGGCTAAACAAAGACTAAGATTCTGCAAAGACCTTACACACATGCTGAACTTTACTACCAGGAGTAGTTTCACTGATTTCAAGGGACTGCTCACAGAACTAAAGTTAAGCACATGTGTAAATGTTTGCAGAACCAGAACCAGGGGGAGGAGCACAAAGACCAGCTTCTATACATATTTGGTGGGTGTGGGCATCAAAGAGAGAATGGTACTGGGTGTGGAATTAAGACTAATGGGATGAGTTCCTCATGAGTTAAACAGAAAAATGCAAGATGAAAAACAGGATGAAAATTCCAAATAGTGAGGTCTAAATGGAAAGTGGTGGAAGCTCCATCACGCTAGCCTGGACAAAAAGCTGGAGAATACACTGTAGGGAACAATTCTGTACTGGCCCAAAGGGGGTGGATTAGATGAGCTGCCTTTTCCAGTTTTAATGTCTCCAACTGTATGGAATTTCTTTTAATTTTTTTTGGGGGGGTGGTTGGTGCATCTTGAGAGCTGTGTTTCTCTCTGTCTTCCTAAATGGGCCTATTAGTAGCTCTCAAACTTCAGGGTGCGCATCATGGTGGGCGGTCAGCAGGCACCCTTCAACTTTATTGTGGTAATGCCATAGAATTGGTGCACACCCTTGCAATGAGCTCTGGATGGAGCCCCACTGAAGTCGGGGGTGGGGGGCCAGAGGTTTGCAGGAGACTCATCGCAGGATCATGACCTTACTGTGTAATTTTACACTACCACTATTTAGTGCCGAATTGACATCTAGCAATAGAAAAGATAAACGTCCATAAACGTATGGAATCATACTCAGTAATTTATATATTCATTATTTATTAACTATCTCTCTCAGCACTATACATCAACACAGTGCTTTACAAACAACCTTAAACACAGGCCTAGCCCCAAAGAATCTATGAGTATTATTTGCATATAAATACACATCTAATTATTTAATATACTTGTAAAACACATTGGTTTCCTGGATGATACAAGCCTACTGTCGCTTTGGCCTATAGAGGCCTTTTATCCATCATCAGGACAGGCGTTTTTATAGTGCGTTCAGTATATCCTCCCATCTTCCCCAATTACAGAGCTACACAGGCACCTCAGTATTCTAGATTCCTCAGTATTCTAGATTCTTTGTTGAACCAACAAAGCAAAATCCCAGTGCTTTTAATTGAGGAACTTCTTCATGCCACCTTAAAGGACAGCGCCACCTTAACCCAGCCTGGATGGTGCTTGTCTGTCTATTGTGCATCTCTTTTACTCCACAGGGTCATTTCTGGGATTTTGCTATGTGGTAACAGAAATCAGGACAGTGGGTGGAGGAGGAGGGCTGCAGGGAGCTGCAGTTGTCTGTTCTGTGTTAATCTTCCGGCTGGGAAAGGGAGGGAGGTTTCCTAAGTGCGTTGGTGGGAGGGCATTTATTAAACATTGGAAAGCAGAGAGAGGAGGAAGAGGATTAAAGGGCGAGAGAAAGAGAGGGAGTCTGCGCCTGGTTTTATGGGGGTCATCCATCTGCTCTGCCCTTTGGATGTAACAGAGTGAGCCATTTCACTTGCTTTTCTCTCTCTGTTCCTCCCTGCTCCCTCCCAGTTGTCTGTGTATCAAGGTCCCTGTGCATCTGTAATTATCCGGGTAATTATCCGGCAACGCTACAAGGCCGCCCACCCCACCCCATAGCGTTCCAATCCATATCCAAGCTACTGGGGCAATGGATCTCAAGAATGTGGTGGAGACTGTGGAAAGCGGGGAACAAGACGCTATCCTCAAGGTGCTGCAGATCTACAATCAGGAGGTGAGTATTGTGTTTGTGCTTGGCCTGTGCCAGTCCTCAGCTTTCCCTGTTTACGTGTCTGGGAGCAGGTTGGCTGGAGAAGCCGTGCTGTGGGATTTCTGTGCCACCCAGCTGTCCCCGTTTGTCTCCTCTACCTACATCTGTCTGTGCGTCACTTCAATAAAACTGCCATTAACCTGCTTAGCGGGTAAATCTTTTGTTTGTAGCATCAGTGGTTCCTGCATGTATGTTTTGACAGTGACTGTTCCCGAGCATCTAGTAAACCTCTCCCCTTCCTGCTTCCCTTATGTACTGGAAGTAAAGCACTCAGGCTGGATTT